ATGACTTAAGATATTTAGTTAAAACTTGGTTTACTTTTTATATTTTTAAACAATATAATCTTTTAACTATTAATGTATATAAAAATGAATTGGCTATATATAAAAAACTATAAATTAGTAAATATTTATTTAGTATCTTAATAAAGATATGTTATGATTGTAAGTTAAAAAAAGTAATATGTTACTTATATAAGATAATTGATATAACAATTATAAACTTAATATTTAATAAAATTTTACATTTGATATCAGTTTTATTTAAAAAAAATTTTTTTTTAATTAATTAACTATAATATATAATTTTTTATTTAATTATTAATAATTGTTACAATTTATCTTTTCTTAAATTTGGTTTTACTTTTTTTAAAATTTTTTACTTATTTTAAGAAATCTGTTATTATTATATAATTTGAATACTTACCGATTCTATTGTGAATCATTTTTACTTTTCTTTTTTATTTTTGACAATTTGATATTTCTTTGCTTCTTTTTTATTTGTTTAAAATATCATATATTTTTTTCATGTTTCTAAAAGTTCTCTCAGATGTTTTACTAAAATTACAAAATTTTTTACTATTTACTTGTATCTTATTTCTTGATTAATCTAATTTAACTTGGTAGTCTTGTCATGAATAAAATAATATACTGTATGTTTTAAAAACAATATTGTTCTTGTCTCTTGTACCCTTAAACCAATCTTGAGACCATTTGGATATTCTTTCCTTTTTATCATCTGCTTTCAATATATAATTGCTTTTGAAGTACTTGGCTTGTATTTTCTTTTAATAGATCATTTCCTGTTGCATATTTTATTGGTAGGTTTAAGATAATTATGAAGTTTTAATGATGAATAATCGTATGACCATATACAGTATTAGAAAAAGCTAATTTGCGAAAACCGAAAATTCATAGAACACGAGGGTGAGTTTTCGAAAACCTGGTTCACAAAATAAAAGGAATTCAGAAGTATTAAACGAAGTAAGTAGATTCACGAGTAAACTATTGGGACATATAAGGTTCATAATGAATGGGTATACAATATAGGCGAGAAGGTTCGTTAAGATAAAACATATCATTAAATAGCATTATAATGGACACAATATAGGATACAGAGAACCCTCCCTAAATGCACGCACTATGTTTTCCCTCTCTAAATGCACGGTCAATTATGATCCCAAGAATATATAACTCTTAATAAAATGCACGTTTTTTTAAAATTTTGATATATGGTCCCGAGGGTGGTGCATTTAAAGAGGGTTCTCTGCACATGTAAAATAGGTAGTTATTAAAATAGATTATATTTCTTTACTATAAATTTTTTAAACACAATAAGCCTATCACCTTATCTCGTAAATCTGCTTTTAAAACAAACAAATATTGATATGCACTATGTAAATTACGGTATTTGTATACCGTATATACGTACTCATGAATTGTATTCTCAACTTTTCAACATGAAAAACGATAATATTGTAGAAATATAAGCAAATATTTCATCACGAAGCCTGAAAGCGACGAAGTGTTGTATATCATTATTCTTTAGTGATATTTTATCATAGAATATAAACTTAGGAGTAATTGACTCTTTAACTAGAAAATTCACCGTCTACCATCGAAAATAATTGCTTATACAGTATATGCTCTTTAATATAAGTTTAATAGTATTTTTATTTTAATGAATCATTATTTCGAATCAAAGTATTATCACGGCGGCAAAGATTATAAGTAAAAGGTGATCAAGAGAAGTCTAATAACTTACTATCCGCCTACTTAAAAAACTCCTTAAGGATCATCAACATACGAATTTGTAATGAAGCCCAATTTAATTAGAAGTATTATTTTTTTAGGCCCATACTTTATCATTTACTACTATCGCACGAGTTTATATAAGAAAATCCTACGTATTCCTAAAAATTAACTAAGGGTTGTTCCATTTGCGTTTGAAGAAGAAGCCGAAGGTGGTTCCGAAGGCCAAATTTCGTCCCTTTTCCATCCACTAACCAGTACCGTTACCTAGATAAGTATAATAATAATCATTATAAAACTTCCATAACTTATAAGATCATAGAAAAAATAACAATCAATATATATATATATATATACAGACCACGTAAGACAAAGGAATCGGTTTGACCAATTTTTTCTTTTCGTGAACCAACGAATCATATATGTAGTTATAATTAAGTGGAGTAATATTAGCCAATGCTGGGTTATTTCGGTTTTCGGAGGGTAAGGATTGTAGAGAATTTGGATCATGATTTCCGCGAGTCCAAAGTTCTCTCCGTTTATTCCATAACTCCAATCCTTCGTTAACGTAAGGTCTTGTTGTTTCTATCGGAGATGTTTCTGATAACGATGTGACTTTATCATTATTACCGCTACCGATATTACTATTTGAGTTTATATTATTGCTATTAATATTGACGTTATTGTCGCTAATTTTATTATCGACTGTATTATTAACTCTGATGTTAATATTATCTATACGATTAACATTGTTATTATTGGAATGATTTATGTTTTCAGTGTTGTTATGACCATCTACTATGGCGGTTTCAAGTCCCGTTTGAAGTGCTGATGAATTCTGATCTTTTTCTGATATAACTGTTACTAAAGAATCATTGTTGTCGTTAGTGTAAGTAGTCGCGGAACTCTTCAAACCAAAGGTGACGAGGGTCTCGATTTTCTGAACGAGCTGGGATGAAGCGTTATTGAGAATTTGTTTTTTTTTTTTTTTTTTTTTAGGGGAGATGTGTCAGTCCTTCGCCTACCTTTAACAAACCGAGTGCTTGTTTCTCCAAGTGGAACTGATACCACGGAATCGTCTGGGATTTCAGTTCGTAACAAAGGTTCAGAGTTCATGTTATCCAAAGTAGTTTCTTACTTTTCTCTTCTAACAACAGCGAATCCTAAAAAAAAATTTTTTTTTTTTATGATTGACATTTTATATACATTTTCGGTCACACAACAATTTTGTGACGTACAGTTTAACATGCATGTATAATGTGTATGCAGGCAACAAAAGTGGAACTTTATTTGGACTATTGCAATACTAAATTATCGAGATTTCTATTTTCAAAATGAATGTTTAGTTTACGTTCATTTTTTTTTTTAAACTTTTGAATAACGAAGTTTAAATCTTAAAAATATTTTTTTACTTTGTCAAAAAAAAAAAAAAAAAAAACGACACTGCAGGTGAATACCTTAGTCACTATTATTTGGAATAAATTCACGATGTTTTAAAACAACAAATTCATTTCAAGGAACTGAATGAATTCAAGACAGAGGCAAGTTATAAACTAACTTTTATTGACACGTCTTAATTTGCAAAACCTCCACGTTACATTACAAGTGTTGTCAAATTAGTTAATTTTAATTATGTAAGCGCATCATCGTATTGCATATCTATATACTGTAATTGTAATTTGTAATACATCAGATACGTTTTGCATTTTCAATCAAATTGTTTAATAAAAAAAGTTTATGAAATTATTAATAAATTTTTATTTATTCTTGCTAATTAAATTGATATTATTTATTCAAATTTTTTAGATTAAATTGTATTCTTTAGTATAAAAAATACCAAAACAGTATTATATATAACAATAAATTATTTTAAATACAATATTTGATGATTTTTTATAGTAAAACTTAAAAAAAACCAAAATTTTATAATATTTTTTTTTTTTTCATAACAATATTTTAAAATTAATATTAAATTGTATAAAAAATTTTATTTGTATATTTTATTATAAAATTGATTATTTTAATTTATTTATTTTCAAATAGTTGCAACTAATATTAATATAAACTTATTTATTAAGAATTGATTTTTTTTTTTGTAACCTATATCAAGTTAGTTATGTGTACTTTATTAAACATAATATATATTATACTATTTATAATGTCACTAAAGCTAAAATACTAACTAATTCCCTTATCTTGATTTATTTTTAAACTCTGAATGCAACTTTGAAAGTAATTTATCACTCTATTTTATAGTTTAGATAAATAACTTTCTATTATTAATATTATTATCTATAGTTTATTACTGCAGATCACTAGCAAAAGTACTAACCAAGCCTAAAACCTAACTATTTCATGTCACTTTTAACTTCTATCATTATTATACTAGTTAAACCTTTTCTTAGGTATTCTTCTTTGGGGGGTTTTTTTTTTTACCTCTTGAACTTCTTGTTTTTCTTACTGAATGAGACTTTATGGATCTTTTTATCTTGTCTTTTTAAAGATTTTTTTAAGCTTTTTTCTATTCTATTACTTGTTCATATTATTTATTTTATACTTCTTTTCTGAAGTAGTTCAAAATCTTCTTTTAACAATAAAGTATCCATTTTCTAACTACTGTTTCTATCATTTTTTCTTTACATTTTAGCTCTTTAGCTTTTATTAATAGATCTTTTTTAATTAACTTTGAAAAAAAAAACAGATTGAGCCTTGACTATTTTTAAATGCTCTTCTTATAAACTTTGTAACTATATTTTTATTTCTCTTATTTTTTTTTATAAACTATCAAGATGTTACTATATTCTTTTGGTGCTTGATCTTTTTGGTTCTATCTCTCTTTTGTAAATTTTTGATATACTACTTCTATACCTCTTGATCAGGCTTACTTCATTATATTTTTATATTTTAAGTATTATATAAAATGTTCTATTATTTCCTTCTATTTTTCAAATTCTAAACAGTTACCTTTGTTATTTAAATCTGATCTTCATATTATTAGCTTAATTATTATGGATAATTTGTTATTGATTAATTTAGTCAAAAAACTTTTCTACTATAAACTTTTAAAGATGCTCTATATATGTTTCTTTTTTAGTTTTTTCCATACTATATTCTATAAATAGTTTTTTTGATCTTCTATTTGAAGGTTCTATTTGTTCTTAGTTCAATTTTGTTATAAATAATAATATATTATTGATTTATTATTTATCCTTTTTATAAATTATCTTATAAAAATATTCAATATTATATTCTAATATTTTACTTCTTTAATAATCTTATCAGTTTAAGATCCTTTCACTGAATCATTGAAAGTTTAGTACTTTTTTGATTAACTTACCTACTATATTATTTTTCTTGATATTAATATGTGTCTTGATTTTAATTAATTTCAATTTTATATTTTTTGTTTTAATGATATTTATTATCTTTGTTCAAAAAATCCAGTTTTTTCTTTACGTCATCTTCTATAAATCATTTTTAGTTTATTTTTTTCAAGTTGTTTTATTTAGATATATATATTTAACTATCTGTATAGATTTTAACTAAGTTTTTCACTAGTATTACTAATAGAATTATAATTATTATTATTAATTCTACTTTGTGAATAATAGCCAGTTTTGTACTTCTATCTAAAACCTACTTTTTTGTTCTTTATTACTTGTTTAAATCCCTATTATCTCTATTTTAGCTATTTATTTTTCATAATCTATTAGAAAATCTATCTAAGTAAAACTATAATATCTCTTGTTTCTCTAAATTTCTTTTTAAAAATTTTTTTAAATAGTCCTGATAAATTTCTTCTTAGATATGTTCTTCAATAATTCTTGTTTTCTATTATTCAATTATTATCTATGGTATTTAATTTTCAAATTCCTAAGATGCTTCATTATGCTGGATCTTGTTTACTATTTTACTTTTCAATATTTCTTTTTTTATTAAAATCTTTAGTTCTTTGAATATTCTTATTAATTTGTATTTGTTCCAGAAAGTGATCTCATGAATCTTAATTCTTTCCTTATTTATAATATATAAACTATTTATAAATATACTTTTTGCATATTCCCTAAATTAAGACAAAGTTGTTTCCTAGTTTTCTGATTGTTTTTTATAATTAAAATATATTAATTTCTTTTGTAATCTTGAAACTTTTCCTCAAATTAATCTTTTTGGACTTCTTTTGTTCAAAATATACTAGGTTTTTTATCTTTTATCTCTATTTAGATTGAGTTTTGGATAGTCAGATTTCTATAAGATATTGTTATTATATCATTTTTTATAATTTCTTCTATTGTTTTTGATAATAGTAAGTATGACAATCTATTATTTCAATCTGAAGTTGATCCTTCACTTATATCCTGAAATAGCTGAATCAATCTCTACTCTTTTGGTCTTATGGTTTTCTTTTCTATAATTTAATCTAAGTATATTAATCTATTATTGTAAAAATATGAAGTAGCTCTTCTATATTCTTCTTTTAATAGATATTCTTAAATTGAATTATTACCTTTTTTTATTCAAAGGTTTTATCAAAAAGTTATATCTAAATCTTTTGCAATTTTAAATATTTGTATTAAGAAGTTTTTCTTATATACTTTTATAGTTGAGCAAGTTTTGAAGTTCACATTATATTAGTAATATCTGTTTAAGCCTAATAATTATTGTAAGTCTTGCTAAACTTTTATTATTTAACCTATTACAAAGATCTATAATTTGACTTTTTTTTTATAGTATTCATATACTTTTGAGAGTATAAATTTTTGAGTAATGTATTACAATATTAGGTATTGATTTATATAATACACTTTTGATCTTGCATAGTTTTTAGAATTTAGTTATTAGGTTATTACATGTTTTTAATAATAATATATTATGTTGTATTCAAAATTCTATTCTCAAAATCTAAATTCTATTTAAAAGATAGAGATCTTGTTTATCCATTACTTTTTTTTTTCTCTGTATTCTAGTTATCAAATCAATTTTTCTATAGATTTTCTTCTTTATTTCTACTGAAGTTTTTTAATTACCTATCTATATATCTAGAAATCTGATTTATTTATTTTTATTTAACTCTTTTACTTTTTCTTTATTTATTTCAGCTTTGGCTATTTTAGAATATTGGCTAGAGTTGTTAATAGTAACAAGTACTGATTTGCTACTATTAATTTGAGAATTAATAACTTTGTAAAAGATTCTTGATATTTTTAGAATTTGTTTCAGATTTTCTTTTGATTTAACTATTCATATAGTATTATTCATAAAAGCTATTGCTATATATTTAAATTCTAACTTATGTTGTTTCTTTTCATCAAAATCAGGATTTCATTTGATTTGTATTTTGTATCCTTTATCTTTATTATTTTGAATTTTGTATAATAAAAGATCATAAAATATTCTTTATAGTAGAAGTGAAACAGTTTTCTCTTGATCTATATTATCTTTTACTACTATTGATTCTATTAGATCATTTCATATAGTATTTTTAATTCTCTATTTGCAAAAAAATTCATGATGATTTTTGTGAAGCCTATTGAAATTTCAACTCTTTTCATTGTTTTTATAACATATTTAGACTTATCATATTATATATTTTGGTTATATTTTGAAAAAGTATTCAAAATTCTTTTTGTTGTCTCTAGCTTCTTCACAAATATTATTTAATACTTGAATAGATTCTGCCATACTTTTTTCAGATAGTTATGCAAAGTTTGGATCCTTTAAGATACAGATATTACTTAATCTGATGATAAAAATTTTTGAGAAAAATTTTTAAATAACTTTCAAAAAAACAATTGATCACATGTTTTATAGTTCTCAATCTCATGTTTTTAACTTGACAATTGAATAGATATAGCTTTGTTTCTATCTGTCAGAAGTAGTTTTTAATTCTAGAAATTTGTTCAAGATATT